TTAATCTGTCAGTGGACACTTGGGCTGCTCCCACCTTTTGGCTATGGTGAATATCGCTGCTATGAACATGGGTGGGCAAATCTCTGTTCAGGTTTCTGCTTTCAATTTTTTGGAGGTCAGACTCAGAAGATTTGCTGGATCACATGGCAATTTCACTTTTAATCTTTTGAGGCTCTATTGTACTTGTTTCCCACAGGCGATGCACCATTTTACTTTTCTAACAACAGTGCAAATTTCCTCCACATACTCACCAATACTTGTTATTTTCTGTCATGTTGATAATAGCCAATTTAATGGGGGTGACGTGTATCTCGCATTTCCCTAATGATTAATGATGTTCAGTATGGGTTTATTAGCCATTTGTATATAAGTCTTCTATCCATTTTTGAATCAGGTTGTTTGGTTTGTGTTGTTGAGTTTTCTATATACTCTGGATATTAATCCCTTATCAGATAAATGATTTTCAAATATTTTCTCCCACTCTGTGGGTTGCCTTTTTACTCTGTTGATAGTGCCCTTTGATACACTGAAGTTTTTCATTTTGATGAAGTCTAATTAGTTGAGTTTTCTTTAATCCTCACCCGAGGATATGTTTAGAGAAATGAAGGGAGAGAGAGAGAAAAAAACACCAATTGCTTGCCTCCCATACGCGCCCCAAACAGTATTCAACCCACAACCTAGGTACGGGCCTGGAAACTGAACCAGCAACCTTCCAGTGTATGGGACAATGCTCCAACCAACTGAGCCACCCAGTCAGAGCTGTATTTTCTTTGAATGACTGTGTCTTCAGTGTCATATCCAAGAAATCATTGTCCAATCTGATGTTGTTAAATTTGCCCCTGAGACCCCCATTTTCTTAAGTCACTTTATAAAGATTATGGATAATATCTTTAGATGGAACAAGTAGGTAACTAACATCCAGAGGAGGGGTTTACTATTTTGCCAGAGAGCCCACATCTTAACAGTAGTTTCTGCCATTGGACTCTGATCACCTCTGCTAAGAAAACAATGTGAAAGAAGAGAGTGGCCTCTGACCAGCAGTAACAGAGCATCAGGGGAAGAGTCTCCACTCTGCGTTAACATTTACATTCTTTTCCTTTGTGGAGCTAAGTTCTTTTACATGATCTTGGAGCCAAACAAAGGGGGAGGGGACCCATGGCTCCAGTTCACTTGACTAACTTACTCCATGCATTTCCTCACCAACAAGCCCATGCAATCTCCATCCCAATGCGGTGAGTGAATGTTGTGCTCATGGAAGACAGAAACTCTGACCAGCATTTAAGGAAGGACCAAGATCAAAGAGCTGGGGAAGAAACCAAGTCCAGGCCTGTCAAGATGCCGTAACTTAGATTTACAGAGTCTCTCCAACTGCTGACCCTGGCGTCCCCAAGCAAGGACACAGCGTGGGGTGAGGAGCCAAGTCACCAATACCAGCATGGCCTCACAGGCAAGCTCACTAAAGTATGAATTTGCACATCTGTTCTAAACACTCACGAGCACCTGCTTTGAGGCAATCCTGTCTAGCTGAGCTGGCTTCTGGCCAGAAATTACAAGAGCAATAAGGGCTGGTCAAAATCGTACTGTCTCTCCAAAGACTGGCACTCACGCCATCAGAGCCATCAGCACTGTGACCTTATTCAATGTAGGAAAGCCAGAGCAGACCCGAATTAGCCCCAGTAGAAGGGAGGGCAACCGCACAGTTCCTCTCCCCTCTGCCCTGCTCAGTCCTGATGGCTGAGTTCCTTTGGCTGGTGTAATTTAGGGGGGAAACAGCGTAAGCTGTGGAGATGCACTGTATACTTAATGGACTTGGATTTGTATCTCTGCTTTAACATTTACTAGCTGTTGACCTGGGCCAAATAATTTGCATCTGTTTCCTCATCTGTAAATGGGAGTAATTAAGTCCGACTTTACATGCCATGAAGGTTGGCGATGGGAGATGCCCAGCACATGCTCACACAGAATATTCATGGTGGCTGTTCCCATAGTGAGTTGTGTGTCTCTCACTGACTCCCCTTGAAGTTCCTCAGAGTCAGCATCCGTGATTTGTCATTAAGCACATAGCAGATCCCCAATAAATATTTGCCGACTGGATCGCCACAAGAATCTCTTTCCCTTAACTCTGTATGGCATTTGGTTGTGAGTTTCAGGTGGGAAAATTAAAAAGTACTGTCCCCACTGGGCCTCTGCAGAGTTAAAACAGCTTCGTGGCAGCAGGAGGACAGAGCTTCAGTCTTATCAGAGCAGAGCTACCTCGAGAGTGTTTGCATAACAATAACAACGCACCCACGGATTTTAACCGAGCACTTTCCCCTGGTTCCTCGTGGATTCATTAAACTGACAGCTTGGCACCGGCATATTGATGCCTGTTTTCTATCTAACACAAGCTGTACAAGTGTCTCATGTTTAATCCACTCTCTGAAATGTTCAGCAACTGTGTGAAAACAGAAAACAAAGGAAATATGCTGGGTTGCGTTATTTCACCTATAAAGCAATGTGTGTCTCCTGTCTATCATCCTCCTCCCTGAACTGGGTGTATCTGGGGTTTTGGTTGTTTTCCTTTGCTCAAAGAGTTTGAATTTCTGCCTGTTAGAGGAGGCTGTGCTCTAGGTCAAGGCCGCTCAAAGAGCTGGTTCTCAAGAAGAGAAGCAGCTCTCACTAGAATGTAAATCAATTCTTTGTTTCCTTCTACAAAAAGCACTGCTGTAAAAATAAAATGTCAGCCCCGCTAAACAGTATGTTTGGTGCAGAAGTTGATGTATGTTCTGGCACAGCCTCCTACGGAGATGACACAGAGCTCACAGACCTGCACGCCTGTGGGTCACACTTCGAGAAGCATTTTCTAGGTTACAGAACTGCCCATCGGCCTGAGAATATGCTAGAATGACATTTACGATGGACTTTTGAGGGTTTTGTGTGTTTTTTGCCACCTAGAATCCTATCCCTTCTTTTGATAAAGCACCCAATATTGAGCATCGGCCACACCCTCTCGGTCTGTGGGATCCAGGTAGAGATCCTATCTGACGAGGGCTGGCTAGACAGTGCTCCGAGTCTTTCCAGCCACAGTGACTGGTTCAGGGAGGCCTTGGTCCAGAGCCAGCCAATCAGCATGATTCCATGCTCCTGGTTAGCTTTCAGGCCTGGAATGGGCAGTGGCCCTGACGGATCCAACCAGCACTGAATCCAGGGACTCACACAGGAGCTGCAAGGAAGACAGTCTCTTTCCATTAGACTTAAAATTGCGATGATGTGAGTCTGGAGTCAACAACACCCATGAGAGGAGAGGCTAGCTGTGAAATGGGGCAAAGACAAGAGACAGAAACTGGATTCTGAGTACATCGTTGAATGCTCTGGTCAAGCCTTGCCTGAAGCGGAGAGCTTATGTGAACCAGTGAATATTCCTTTTACTTAGACCAGTTTATGAGCTTTCCAACACCTGCAACCAAAAGAGTCTGAAGTTTTCCATGACTACTATACCCCTGTTCTAAAATCCATATTCATTGGTCCTAAAGAGCAAATCTAAAAAGGCAAAAGGTCAGAAGAGCTGCCACTACTAGAACCAGAAACGGATGACCAAGACTTTCCACACTTGAGTTCCTTCCTCTGTCAGGTGGTTAACATCTGCCTCACCCATCACCTCTCAGGTGACTATGAGAAACACATACAAAGATAAAGAAAATAAATCATTCTGGAAACATACAAAAAAGCACTGTACAAACAAAAACTATTATTATTATTACCACACCTTGGTTATTCAAACTTCAAAATTCAATTACAGATCCTATAAAAATTTTAGAAGCCTTTGGACAACACATGTTTTTTTACCAAGTGCTATATTCTGCTATAGGAGAGGAAGCACCCTCTGCAGGCCACAGGCTATAAAGCGAGGCAGCAGACTCACAGGAGTCGGACAGAACCGAGAAGAGACAGCCCAAAGCCAGCGTAGGCCTCCTGGTCTGGGCTGAGCACCAACACACACTGTGGGTTATTTCTTAGGCCCACCCAGGATGTTTCTCCCCCACTGCACACATCATCCCATCTACTTAGGCTTATAAATCATGAGAGAAAAATGTTGATTTAATTTATAAATTACTGCTATTAATTCTCAACCGCTATTTTGCAACTTTGGAGTTGTCCTAACAATAATATTGTTATCCAGTTAGGCAGACCTTGTTGCTTGTTTTTTACTGTTTTCATATCTGCGAGCTAAGGGACCAACATAACAACAAACTTTACATAAAAGGGCTGAATTGTTTTGCAAATTTTGCATTTTTTTCAAAAATAAAAATGCCATCATTTTCTGATAAAAACAGGAAGAGGCATTACTACCGTTAGATTTTTTTAAGCTCCGTTCTGAGTCTCTAGTCATTGGTGGTATTAATGGATTCTCTCTTGATGGCAAAATTACTACATTTTTGGAGTTCCATATAATTTAACCAGAAGATGTTTGTCCTTCACAATTCCCACCTTTGAGGAGCTGAATCCTGGGGGTACAGGACAGGAGGATAGAATGGGGTCTATTCTTCACTAGCATCCCCATGTCCCTGGATATCAGCTCTGTGTAGGAACATCCATCCATGACTGAACCCAGCATGCCCCGGGCCACATTACCAATGAGCAGGATTATGATTCCCCAGAGGCAAGGAGCCGGCTAAACCCTCTCTCCTTGCTCCCGAGGACAGCCTGCGTTCAGGCAGAGCAGGCTGGCTCTACATGTGATAGGCTCCACAAATGTCGCTGCTCTTTCTTCCTGCATCTCCATCTGTGCCTCTCCATCTTATAAAGCAAGTTGGCCCTTCCCTGTTATCTGTTTATCTTCAATTCAGGAATGGGGGTGGGTAAAAGGCACCATGTTGGCCTCAAGACCAAGGCTTGCTCGCCAACCTGGCTATACCATTATCAAAGCTAGTGCTTTGTCTCCTATTAATCCAAGTGCAATAAGTTAAAAGGCCAAGTGGCAGAAGAGAGAAGGGCTGTTCCCCAAAAACTCTAACACTTACCAGTCTGGACAGTGCTCGGGAACCAGCATAGATTATACCCACAAACAGCACCGAAGCAGGAAGCCACGTCAAAACGTCAGATCTAGAAAGAAGAAAAGAAGCAATACTACTTCTGTCACTTTATGTCCAAAAGCCTGGCTGGAAGGTACTACCCTTCAGATGCACCAAATGCAGTGACAGCAGTTATCTCAACTCCCCTGAGGGACTCGAGAAGTGTGACACGGTCTGTATCTACTGAGTGATGGGGGCTCACACAGCCCTCCTGCCTTCAGCTCTGCCACCTGCCTGGCATTACTGATCCCACCACAGGCATAGATGAGCTGAACATGCAAAAAGCCCTCGTGCAGGCTGGGAAAGAGAACAAATCTAATTTTTTTAAGGGGACAGTGAACATTATTCTTTGGATTTTTAGTAGCCAGAAATTGTGAATATATGCCAAATTATTTAAAATGTTTCAAGGCTATGTACCTAGATAATATATCAAACAGCTCCGTGGAACCACAGTGTCAACGGACAGCATGGAAAAGAAAGAGAGTGCAAGAACTTGTCTGATTTCTTTAACCATTAACCAGGAAGGCCAGTTCCAGGAATCTTTAAGGACTTGATTCAATTGTGGCCACACCAACAACTGCTTTTTCATTTCAGTTTAGAATCTTGCTCTCCTCAAGAAAAGCACAATCTCAGTTTTTATGTGGAGTGCATATCATTGAGGTTGCAATTTTCTTCCCCCCAATCAGTTACAAATGCATTGGGTCCACTAATTCAAGTTCCCAGAGTTATTCTAATAATAGATATAAATAAATGAAACCATTCCAGCAGGATATAACATGATAATGCCAACTAATTCAATGAACTGCTCTCCTGGGACGGTGTCTGCTCATGAAATTATCTTTATTAATTTCATTAGCATGAGCAGGCCCTCCATCCATGATCAGACCTGCTTTTGTGTAACTTCCCAGGGAGCATGGCATTAAAATGTTTCCAGAATGTTAAGGCCTTCAAACCCTACTTCCTGTACACATCAGTCAGCAAATATTTATCACAACTTGGAAGGTGCTAACAGCACCAGAATTATTAACATCGGTATCAGAGTTGACATTTCTTAAGCACTTGCTATAAACCAGGCACTGTGCTGAACATTTTCTACACTGTATCTTTTTGCAATCTGCACAACAATCTTTTTTTTTTTTTTTTTATCCTCACCCGAGGACATTTTTGCATTTTTTGTTCAGACAGAGCAGGAGGGAGAGAGAGGAAGAGAGAGAAACATTGATGTGAAGGGACACATCGAGTGGTTGCCACCCGCACGACCAACCAGGGCCGGGGACAAACCGCAACCGAGGTATGTGCCCTTAGCGGGAACCGAACCCGGGTCTCTCTGTACTGCAGGCCGACGCTCCAACCGCTGAGCCAAACTGGCCAGGGCTGCACAACAATCTTATGTGGAAAGTATTGTTGCTATTATCCCCACTGTGCAGATGAGGAGACTAAGGCACAAAGTTTAAGTAATTTGCTTATGGTCAGAAGAGCCAGTAATGGCCAAGCAAGAATTTGAATTCCGCCTGCCTGACTCTAAAGCCCTAGATTTTGACCACCTTTTCAAACTTGACCCTCAAGGACCTCATAATCTAATGGGAGACACTGACATAGAAATAGGCAAGCAGCAAACACATGATTTTGCTCTGGTAGCAGACCAACAGCTAATGATCTGAGGACTATTACTAGTCCTGCTGCAATAACAGATGTCTGCACTTCCAACCAAAAGGTGAACAGGGAAAGGTAGATGCCATCCTCCATCCTAATGGGTCAAGCATAACATCAGCCAAGTGCTACTCTTCTTGGAAAAGCCTTTCCCATTAGACATTAAGGGTCAATGGAGACAGGATTCAGGCCCACAGCCCGCTGTGCACCGGAAGGAAGCCCAGATCATAGACTGCAGGGAGCACTGATGAGGAAGGAAGGAAGGAGGGCACTGGGTGAAATGGCAGCTGGCTGAGCTGCAGCAGGCCCAGGACTGTGGAATGTAAGGTCAAAGAGGCCCCAGACATTTGTGCTCCATCCCCTCTCAAACAAAGAAAACTCTTGCTGAGTCATGTACTCCAAGAGACATTAAGGTATGTGAGCAGCCATGGACGTGAGGGAAAGAAAACACGGCTAGGGAACATCTTGTATTTTAGCCCTTCTACCCTAAAACACAAAGACATAAATTTAATTAGAAAAAATATACACAGTTCTAGTTGAACCAAAGAAATGTCTGGGAGATGCCACAGGGCAGCTGTGTGACCGAGGCACAGGGTCACTCCTGCTTGAGTTCTCCCCGGTCACCTCACTCAGGGCCCATCTTCCAGGTGGGTGGAGTCAGAGCAACGAAGGGTAGAACTTTAGACACCTGCAGAACTGGTTGGTTACAGAGCAATTTCTTTTTTTTTTTTTTTAATCCTAACCTGAGGACCCAAGGACATTTTTCCATATTTTGTTCAGATAGAGTGGGAGGGAGAGAAAGAGAGAGAAACATCGACATAAAAGGGACACATTGAGTGGTTGCCACCCGCATGACCCAACCTGGGCCGGGGAGAAACTTCAACCGAGGTACATGCCCTTAGTGGGAACCGAACCCAGGTCTCTTTGGACCGCAGGCCAATGCTCTAACTGCTGAGCCAAACCGGCCAGGGCTACCGAGCAATTTCTTGCCCCCCACCCACATCTTATCAGTGAGACAGATGCCTTCCTTCACCACACACCAACATAAAACTATATTAAGAATAACAAATGTGAGTCACTGGGAAAATTGCTGCCAAAGCAGGTGTGGGCAAGAAGAGTGTGAAAGGATAGAGAGAAATAGAAAAATAACAAAAAATTAAGGATTCTGGCCCAGCTGGTGTGGCTCAGTGGTTGAACATCAACCCATGCATCAAGAGGTCGCCGGTTCGATTCCTGGTCAAGGCACATGCCCAGGTTGTGGGCCTGATTCCCCAGTAGGGGGTATGCAGGAGGCAGCCAATCACTGTTCTCTCTCATCAATGTTTCTATCTCTCTCTCCCCCTCCCTTCCTCTCTCTAAAATCAATAAAGAAAAAAAAAATAAGGATTCTGTATTCTTATTATTTCAAAGTATCAAAGTTCCCATTTTACTGAAAATAAGAGCAAATGTAAGTGCCCTTTATGCAAGAAAAAACTCAAGGAATTACTAGTCGACAATACATATATATATTAAAAAAAAAAAAAAGCTTTACCAAAAGATTAGCAAATTGATGCATATTTATACACCTTAAATTAAAATAGATTGTTTCACTCTTCCTGTGGGAGCCACTGGCTGACAGAAGCATGGCCCTCTCCTTTCCACGCCATGGCGTGTGCTCGTCCGCTGCCATCAGTGTACTCCGCAAAGGGGGAACCATGTGGCAAAAATGTCACTTGGCTTGCTGTTCAAGACTCGCATTCAACCAGATATGAACTTTGTTCACACTGACTTGCACAAAAGCAATAGACAGTCCTATGCTGTCAGTGAATTGGCAGATCATCAAACCAGTGCTGAGTCATGGGGTGCTGTCAGAGCTGCGCCTTCAGTTCCCAGAGTTCAAGATGATGGGACTCATGGTTCTGACCAGGGTGCTTTTGGAAAAATGAGTCATGGGAACCTCATGTTTGCACCAACCAAAACCTGGAGCCATTGGCACCAGAGGAAACACAACAGAAGCGATACGCCATCAGCTCTGCCCTGGCTGCCTCGGCCTTACCAGCACTGGTCATGTCTAAAGGTCATCGTGTTGAGGAAGTTCCTGAACTTCCTTTGGTGGTTGAAGGTAAAGTTGAAGGCTACAAGAAGATCAAGAAGGCTGTTTTGCTTCTTAAGAAACTTAAGGTTAGAATGATATCAAAAAGATCTATGCCTCTCAGCAAATGAGAACTGGCAAGGGCAAATGAGAAACCATCATTGTCTCCAACACAGGGGACCCTGCATCATCGCCAGAATCAGGACATCAGTATCATCAAAGCCTTCAGAAACATTCCTGGAATTACTCTGCTCAATGTAAACAAACTGAACATTTTGAAACTTTCCTGGTGGGCATGTGGGCCGTTTCTGCATTTGGACTGAAAGTGCTTTCCGCAGGTTAGATGACCTGTCAGGCACTTGGCATAAAGCTTCCTCCCTCAAGAGTAACTACAACCTTCTCGTGCACAAGATGCTCACTACAGACCTTAGCAGAATCTTGAAAAGCCCAGAGATCCAAAGAGCCCTCTGAGCACCACGTAAGAAGAGTCATCACAGAGTCTTGAAGAAGAATCCACTGAAAACCCTGAGAGGCATGTTGAAGCTAAACCCATGTGCAAAGACCACGCAGGGGAACACCATTCTTCGCCAGCCAACGACCAACGCTCCAGGTGGATAAAGCAGCAGCAGCTCTAGATGACACAGGGTTCCAGGCAAGATGCCTGTGGGAGGCACGGAAGGAGAAAAGGCTGTTGGCATTACGAAGCAGAAGCCCTTGGTGGGAAAAAGCTGCAGCTACGAAGAAACCAGCGGCTGAGAAGCCTGCAGAAAAGAAACTCACTACAGAAGAAAAGAAGCCTGTGGCATAAACTTAAATGTGTTTATTCCATAAAGGTCAAATCACTGTGGGTAGCTAATTTTGAATAAAATCTGATCAAAGGCAAAAAGTAGATTATTTCATTAAAATGTGATTCCCTAATTTATCTGACTTTCAATTAACCCACTAGTTATCTGTCTGACAAAGTCAGTAAGGAAATTTCTATAAACATTATTAATTTTTCCCTCACCCCTCAAATAAACGTACAGAAAGGTGGAAACCATGTGTGTTTTGTTCATATAATAAATGTAAAATATTACATTGATAAATGTTTCAAAGGAGACTAAAGGTCTATACTATACACATAAGGGCATCTAACCCAGTCAGTGAGGATAGGGAAACTGTCCTTAAATAAGTGATGTTTGAGATAAAATCCAAAATTAAACTGGGTATAGGGAGTGGGGTAGAGCAGTGGAAGGGACACAACATTCCAGACATAAATATAGCATGTGCAAAGGCCCTGTGGCAAGAAGAAATTTGAGGAAGGCAAATGT